GGTGTTGCATTTGATGCACAAATGGTTGTCGTCATCGTCATCATCCCGAGGAGACAGCATCTGGAATAATTAAAGCTGGAATTATTAAAAAAGTAGTAGTCGCGTAATTTATGATATATGGACGTAAGTAGTGATATCTCGATGTCACAAAAGAGTCTATGTTGATGAGAGCTATTCAATCGATGCAATGTTATGTTATTCGAAGCTACGTGTCTACGCCGCCCGCAGCGGCAACGTTGCGGTTCCGCTGCGGTCCCACTACGGCCCGGCAAACGTTTGCATGCGCCGATCTATCACTTTATTAGCATTAATTCAATGAAACTTGCGGAAGAATGTGATTGTTTTGTCCGCGTTCATATCTAGGTAGCAAAGTAGGTACTGCAGTATGACATAAGTTTGTGGTATTCTATTTAAATCATACATAAGTATGGAGCATCGTAAAGACAAAAACAAATAGAGCATTAATTTCCTTATATCATTCTCACATGTCGGCGATCAATCACTATCCATCTTTTATGAGTCGAGGTGCACATGCGATGTCTTGTACTAGTGTTCTAGAATAATCTATGTCTGTATTCGCTTGTGCACGTGTGTTTGTGTCTTTACGTAGCTTCACTGAACCAGTGTGCGTTCAATACATGTCCATGTATATACATGCTCTAGTGTGCGTGTGGGGACGTCCGTCAGTCACCCGTCCGCGGAGACGCCCGCTGCGGGTACCTTCAGGCGATAGTCGGCTTGTTTCCCAAACGCCCGTTTTAATATGTTACGTGGTGGATGTTAGAATAAATGGGATTCTGCTATAGTTAAAGACTAACATCACGAATATTTACAATAACATGTGAGTGCTTCCTTAATAATAGATAAATGTAAATTGCATTTAATTTTTTTCTCGCTAAAAAGTTTAAAAACTAGCTAGTAGTTCATTTAAACTTTCATCTATTTACAAATCTAGTGGCCGAATTGAAAAAAAAATCGGTAACCGGTACTATTTTATTCATGATCTTAACAAAATGTCTCAAATGATTTTTTTCGTTTCGAGAGTGTGCCGCGACGTCGTGAAAGGCTGTCGTCCGAATAACGAGGCGGACATCGATCGGCGCCGACACGACAGTAGCGCTGCTTGCGCGACAGCCCCGGCCGCGGTTACTGCTTCTACATTCTAACTCTATTCTTCCCTAATTATTCCATTGTTTTTGTGTTTTTGTATCGTATGCAAGGAATGATTATCACATATCGTATGGCACTAGTTTCAAAAGAATCATGGTTTAGTCTTTTTTCAGGGTTGTCTGAGGAATAATGTAAGAATTCGATTAGAGAACAACCTGTTCATGTCTTGATTAATAGTAGATATTTATAACCATGAGCTTAGTTACACATTGCCCACAGGGTGGTTATAAAGTCAAACAAAATAAACACAAAAGAATATAACGGTCAATATACTTTATGTCTCGTATCGCTCTTTTGACTAGTGAGTACGTAGCTTTAGAATGCAAGGTGTACGAGGGAAGAGTTTTCTGTCCGTGTCCATAAATCGGTCGAACCCGCCCTAATCTAATGGAAATTATAATTGATTTCTGAGCTAGTTGGGCCGCGCGGCGTGCCTCATGTGTCTTATCTGATGGGTTTTGTTTACGATGTGCTTTTAATACCTGGCATTACAAGGAATAGGTGAAATCGTAATCGACTCTTTACTTGACGAAGAGTTAAAGTGTGTATTAAAAGTCATAGCAAATGTAATAATCTGGTTATAGTTCCTAGTTTCAGTTTATTAATAGCTTAACGAGTTTGTTTAATGAACTTCGATTCTTGTCGACATCAACCACTAATTGGAATAGATTATAACGCGGGGATACAGTTAGGTAATCAATTTTAGTTGTAATCTGTCTCGAACTATCCGAGTTGAGAGCTTGGTCAAGCGTCCGGCGCGAGCGATGAGCCCCGCGGGGTTGATAGATTCATTAGAGGACGCGCTGACGTCACGCGACCGATACCGGTGTTGTACCTGGATCATTTGGAAAATATAATATTTGTAGTCGTTTGCTCGTTTGCTACATTTCAGAAAAAAATCTCCGGCCATATTTCTTCACGTCGCTGTCTAGTCCTGTGCGGTGGGTCGCATAGTAGAGGTGCACCACTCTGGGGCATGGTGCGGCCGGCCAGGGCACAATGGGCC